TTAAATATAAGGAAAAAGTACGAAAATAATCTTAACTTTTTGTATCCCAGGCAGAACATGGTGTGTGTGGATATCTTCTTTTTTTAATTCTTATTATAGCCTTATGTGCTTTTTAATATTTTACATTTGACCAGAGGATACTTAAAATCTCGTACATCCATGGACTGATATGTCCTCACGATAGGTCGCAGTCCGACGTTGAGATAGGTTCCGCAGTCTGAATTAAGCAATGAAAGTATACCGGCTTACTGCCGAACTGTGACAATTTACCAGCTTCCTGCTGAGGTCTATATTGGAGTCCGGGGTAAAACGACCTCAAGGATCCAACTTTATACCACGTTTGCTTCCGTGGGATCCCAGGGTAAAGCGTCCTCGAGGATCCACACGTCCGTCTCCTTCGGACTGTCAACATCAACTGCTTTTACAACAATATCTTCACAACGTTACGTATTGTTTTGACGTCTTATTTGCTCACTTAGTATTGGTGAGTTCTAGTGCACATTCGCACGCGACAGCATGTGGGTTCAGCGCTCCCATTGTGAGGGACAAAAAGAATAGACCCACTTGTTCCGAACAAGCATGTCATAAGAGTCAACTAATTAGTGATGTCTCCTTTGAGGTTGGAGTTGGAGTGCATCTGCCTGAGAGGCAAGGAACAGTCTACATAAAAACAAACCAGATCTAGAACAAAAGCCCAGAAGTAGATGAAAAACCAGACATTTCCGCCGGAGTTTACAGCAGTCAACACCAAGAAGAAGAAGAAGAAGAGAGGCTTTACACTGTCTATCCAACATCAACGCCCTCCCCCTCACTTCTTGACTCAATGGAATCTGCTCAGAGTCTTCCAAAGGCTCCACTTGAGTGATTCTATCATACCATTTAATTCCTTCGCTTCTATAATACCAAGGCATTTGATGTAGGAGTTAAGACTTAGTTTTCTGTGTGACTGGATACTTTCCATGTCAAGCAATCATGTTCTGTGTGACTGGGTACTCTCCATGTCAAGCAATCATGTTCTGTGTGACTGGGTAATCTTTATGTCAATCAATCAATCAACACGTAGTGCAGGGCTATTCAGCTGACAGCCTGCAGGCGGAAACCGACCTGCAGAGGTCTAGCAAGTGGCCCAAGGATCACTGCCGATTGTATTGTATTATTATCTTTTTAGGCGGCAGCTCGGTCTTCTAGCCAGTCACGATCCTCATTTTCAAAACTTTGCCCTTTGTGTAAACTTAATTAAATAGCCCTTGTGTAGTGTGTATTTTTTCATTTATTCAGAGCATGGTCCAGACAAAGTCTCAGCCTCAAATTCAAATTTAAAAAAAACACGTGATTTTGTTGCCATTGTTAGATCCCTAACTGAACACTTGCTGAGACAAAAACAAAAGAAAAAGAAATTGTCTGTGAATTCTCAGTAAATTTAATAAATACATTCTGTAAGTCAAGGAGACCATCTTCAGTATGAGATGAAAAACCAAAAGAACAAGTTACTGAGACAAACATGACTAAGAAAACCACACACAAACACCAAAAACTCACATGGATTGAAACAAAATAATAGTTGAAACACACCGTAATATGGATGCTCATAACTATGACATTCAAAACAAGCACACATTAGTCAATGCATTGATGAACAGTGAACAAAGAGTGATATCTAACCTGCAGGGTTGCAACAGGAGATAATTTAAAGAGTATGGAATGCTTATTTTAATTGCAATAACTGACTAACTGTCATAGGGAGCCAACTGAAGCAATACAAACACAGACCAAGAGGAAGATCATGCAAAAAATGGAATGACAGTATCAAGAATGGCCTTAAAGTAATGAAGATCAATTACACAGCACATAGGATTTATAACCCATAAGATAGAGCACATTCCCGTGTGGGGGAGAAGAGAGAACAGACCCGTGTGGGGGAGGAAAGAACATCCCCGTGTGGGGAGGAGAGAACAGACCCGTGTGGGGGAGGAGAGAACAGACCCGTGTGGGGGAGGAGAGAACATCCGCGTGTGGGGGAGGAGAGAACAGACCCGCGGCCCCCAATAAGCATGTTGTAAAAAGCAACTTTCTAATGTTTTTTCCTTCGAAGCCACAATGCACTTGCCTGGGAAGCGAGGAACCAACAGTCTGAATACAAATAAGCCAGATCTGTCAAACAGACCTGCACAAGAAACTCAAGTTCTGGAACAAGACCAAAGCCCAGAAGTGGATGAGTAACCAGAATCTTGCACTGGAGTTAACAGCCAGCAAACGCTAACAAGAAAGAACACACAGGAGATCTTTACACCCTCCTCCCCCCATCCCCTGACACTTTGCTGAGGTAAATGGAGGAAGAGAAGGAGAAGATTAACATCTGCAGGACAAGCCAGGATGAGGTAGTACTGAGTGTGCAACATCTATCCTGGGATGGTGGTGCAGCCCTGGTTTAGTTTATCATGTGGATTGCGGATGTTAACAACATGGATGCTCCAACAATATTCACAATGGTTACAGTCAAACCCACACAAGCACTGATTAATTCCCACACACCAGCAATAATTTCTAATGCAATCACACACATACAGAGAAAAGGGAAAATAAAGAAAAGGCGAGGAAACAAATCAAAATTAGATATTAATTACTGTACTGAGTCGCCAGGTGGAATAGTGTTTATATGCACCGGTATTTTACCATTATTTAATTTTTAAAATACCACATAAGTGAAAAAAAATATATATATATATATACTGTGCGTCAAAGAAAGCATATGATTTGTGAATTTAAATGTATATTTTTCACAAATATATTGCTGGTGAACTTTGGAAAGCAATGACCCTCCCCACTGTACAGATTGCCAGACTAGTGAACTGTTTGCACTGCCAGAGACTGGTAGTCTTAGTTTCAGCTTCATAGCAAACGGGTCACACCATCTTTGCTCCGCTCCTGTGCCAACGAAAAACACACAGAATGTTCATCACAGTCCCTTGTGGAAAGATTGACAGACTGCTGTCTCAGCATATCTAGCATACATACGCATTAAAGCATAGGGTAGCTATCCAGCGTTAACACAAACAGTCCGACATTAGAAATGCAATTCATAATTGATAGTAGCAGAAGTCACCAAAAGATCAGCAGTTGTCGCGATCAATTTTAATCACATTCGGGCACCACCAACATTGCGGCGACAGGAATCACGCCATTTTCTAAATCAATAATTCACACCACCACCTTGATCACAGTAAAAAAAATAACATTCCAAATGAACTTCCGCAGATCACAGTCACACCATGCATTCAACTCAGAAGCTGGGCGACGAAACTATATCCAGTCCACAAATGGAACAAAAATGCATCGGCTACCATTCGGCAGAAGCAAAAAATTTGCCTCAGCTCCAAACAGTGCGCCTGCCTAGCATCCATTTTGACCGGAGAGCTTTACTTTAATGGACCTGGACTCTAAGGCTGACCCAGTCTCAAATAGAACTAAGAAATATTTCCCACAAGCAAAGGCAACTGGCCTGGTTTTGACACCACACATCAAGTGTTACCTGCTCAATATTTAAAGCCCCAAAATGTCTAAAGGTGCAGAAACGCCCTTGACTTTACACTATTAGCAATTTTGTGTGTGTGTGTAGATAAAAAACAAAACAAAAAAATGCTAGATCACTGCAAAGAAAATACAAAGACCATAGCAGCATACAAACTTGTCAATAGCTTTGAGTTTCCCTGAGCACTGTCTAGTCAGATACAATTTTAAAAAAACACAAGTATGAACTATGTTCTCATGTTTTTCAAGTAAAATGTACAAATTTTAAAATTAATTATCATAATTATCTATATGTAGTGTTTGTTTCAGCATGGCAACTCCTCGTGTTTTGAGACATCTATCTATTTCATTATTCTACAGTGTGCTTGTTTCTCCAAACATTAAACAAAGTTAATTCTTTGGGGTGGCCAAAAAGCCTGCCTTCAAAGGAGCTTATAAAATATTGCAAGAATGAAAAAAGACACACAAAGATCAAATCATCTGTGCAACTTCCATTGTCTCATTTGGTTCTCCAACAGGGCTAAGCTTTATATAATTCAAAAGTACACATGACATTAACTCCTTCTAAAGATTCAGTGTTACAAAGTCTTCATGTGTTGAGGCATCTATTTAGTTAGTTATCCAACACTGTGCTAGTTTTTCACACACAAAATAAACATAATTCTTTAAGGTAAAGAGGCCTATAAAATGCAGCAAGAATGAAAGAAACATCAAATCATCTAAGCAACTTACAATGTCACATTTGTGTCTCCAGCATGGCTCAGTTTTATATCATTCAATATTCTGAAACTGTATGATACAGAAATTCAATTTATAATCTGGCCCTGTGCAAATGATGAAAAAGAAAGGACAGAATCAAATTTATTTATATAACTTCCCCACTCTGGTACAATCTGTAACTTTACTAATGATATAGATTTCTTTGTGCCACTCTCCCTTCACTATTATTATCTGAATCTGAGTTCATGAAATGAAAGAAAGAGATTTCTCTGCATAACTTCCCCCCTCCGTTATATTCTGCAACTCTGCTCACCATATATAAAAAAAAGAAACAGATTTATTTGTGCCAATATTACAATCTAAAACTGAGTCCATGATGATACAAGAATGAAAAAAACTTTTTTCTTTGTATCAACTTCCCCAAATGATTGTAATCTGAGACTTGAGAATATGATTATAGAGACATGAAACAAAAAGGAGACTAACTTATTTGTTTCAACTTCCTTTTTACACGAAAATCTGCAAATATACTCACGCTGCAGAAATAACAGAAAAGAGATTTATTTGTTCACTAAATTATAAATCAGGCCAGAGTTGATGATATTACAGAATAAAAAGACTAATTTATTCGAGTCAACTTCACCCACCCCATATGTTGTATGTGATGCTTCTCAGCATAAACAGGTTTAAACCCCTTCCCACAGGCCCTCACAAAGCAGCAGTTGGCAGCCAAGCCCTGCTGCAGCCCTGTATCACTCTGCATATTTGGCTGTCCATTCTTTTGCTAATCTGTTGTATTCTGTACGATTTGTCTTGAATGTACGGGCGATTTCTGGTACCAGCGGATCATCTGGGTTCGGATCTGTCAGCAAGGAACAGATGGACAGGAGCACTGTGAAAGACAAACAAGGTCGTCCTTTAGTACATGTGTGGAAAGATCTAGGGCTTTATATTTACTAGGTCACAGCACAGGAAAGTGAATGAGCAAGCATCACCTTTTCTCTTCACCTTATTTATCATACAGGCCGGACTAGAGCACTCTGAGGTGGCACCAGCAGATTCTTCTCATCATGTTTACACGACATATACCAGACTATTCTGTGATATCAAGTGATAGCCCTTTTCTTCATGAATGGTGAAAAGTAATTGAATGTTATTCATATTGAAAAACAATTTTTTCCCGTTGTAAATTCAAATAATGTGGACAAAATGATACATAGCACAACTTATTGCCTGGCATACTTTTGCTGTATTTCGTTAGGTGCATTACTACAGAATTAAATCAACAGATAATGAATGAGGCATAAAATGAATCTTTTTCTTGCTGAAATGCATAAATCACACTGTTGAGTTTCTGTACATCTAACTGCCGGAAATTCAAAACCAAAATCAGTCATTATTTACCCCTACCAGACCGCTGGCCCGGTTTTCCGGGAATTTCATAACTGTTCTGTATACCGCTGGCCCTAATTTTCGGCTATTTGCATAGTGCGTCAAAAAGATGCGTCACTGACTAAAAATAACCAACCAATCGTCGTCAGTCCGCTTTGTTTGACATTGCAAATGGCTTCCCTGTGTGTGTGAATCAATTCTGTGTGTTTTAACGCGAAATTTTTTTTGAAAATTCAGAATGAAGCGAGCGGCTGATGAACCAAGTTCTAGGCTTTTTAGTCCAACAGGTGATCGATACTTTGGTTTATTCAGACTGTGAGATATATATATATATATATATATATATATATATATATATATATATATATATATATATATATATATATATATATATATATATATATATATATATATATATATATACATATATATATATATATATATATATACACACATTATTATATATATTATACATTATATACATTATCTGTGATAATTTCATAAAGAATACGTTCTTGAAGTGACACTGTAGTGAGAGCACGAATGATGAGGAAAATCTTGAAAATTATCAATCTTGAAATAGATTAATAGTAGGAGACAGGGGTGTGTCCATCAAACAGCAACATCTGGTGTTCACTTTGTGAAACAAAGTTGATCCTGATGAGTGAATTCGCACACAAAGGTGGAATATTGGCGCTAGATAAAAGGTAAGCCTATTTTCTACAATGTCTCCAAGTTTCATCATATTCTAGCCACTCGTTTGCATGTAACTAATATTTTTGTATATCATGTTGGTTTGTTCGTGGTAATGCCCAGGGGCTCAGATTATAAGGAGTTAGGTTCAGGGCCTCAGGTCTGGTAGGGTTAAATACCTTATACTCATGTTTTCATAGACCGATAAGAGTTTGAATGGTTATACAGTTAACACCATGCGTCACCTTTACTTTCCAGGATTTTACTTTATACCTATTTAAGGCGGGGCTGACCTGTGACCAAGGTCAAACAAGTTCTTTGCTTCCCTGAAGCCTTGTCTGGGTTCCAGGACCTTATTGTGGATGAAAACAGAACAGACCCCCTGCTCCCCCAAAAGCCTGTTGCAAAAATCGACTTATTAGGGGTGCTTCTTTCAAATTCAGAGTGCATCTGCCTGAGAGGCAAGGAACCAACAGTCTGCAAAAACATAAGCAAGATCTATCAAATGGATGTGCATATAAAACTCAAGTTCAAAAACAAGACTAAAATCCAGAAACAACTTTTTGAGGAGTTTACAACTGGTGTACATGAAGAAGCAGCAGCTTCCCAGAAGGTTCATCTGGTGCCTGTTCTGCAAGAATGGGTGAAATTCTGAGACATATGCAGTTAGAAAAAATGCATCCATTCATCTGGAGAGTGAAAAGGGCATGTAACTCTTTTGTCGTTCGGCTCACTAGCGTAGTTGGTTAAACCGGACTGCGTGGTGACAGGGTGACGAACTCCTTATGGCCCAGGTTCACGCCCAGGGGTGGGCAGAAAAGCCACATTTCTCCCAGATTTACGGTATTTATCATGGAATCAAGGCCGAAGGGTTGCGATATCCATAATACCGAGCCTAAGGGTTAACAACTCATGGCTTCTGGATACTTTAAAAAAAAAACTCTTTCATCCCATTGTGCCAACATTTCTGCAGTACTGACTGTTACAAATCCCCTGTTACATTTCAGCTTCAGCCAGTCCTGACTTGGCCTTTACTGGCTTGGCACGGTTCGCTACTGCACAGTATTTAGATGACCTGCATATGACTGTGTTTACTTACACCCACAAAAAGAAAGCATTTGTGTAATTTTTGGGGGTGAAAAAGTTTTTACCCTTGTTAAAGCTACTATGATGCCAAATTCACCTTCAACTGTTATGATAATCAAGAACTAAACCTGTCAAAAAACTACAGCCAGATAAGATTACAGAACAGCTGATTTATTTATTCACTAACCATGTTCCTCTGTCAACTACGTTACAATATTCAGCCGTGTGCTAGGATTTGAACCATGTAACTTCTGAGCCAAAAGCAGAACAACCTCCATCACATGAAACACAAAAGGCAAAGATATACAACATGCAGGTACTTACCTTTTGATATGGTGAGAGCTGGGGACCATTGGCTTCGAAGGATGTCTAAGCAAATGCTGCCGTTGCTGTTGATGTTGGGATGGTAAATCTTTGTTGAGAATGCAACCTGAACCAAACACAAGCATTGTGAAACATCAGTCCAAAAGTTTTAATCTTCATGATATGATTCATATTTTATTACACGTTTCAGAAGAGGACACACTTGACTTCGCGGCCACATGTATACAACATTTTTTAAGACTGGTGAATCAGCCATGCGTAAAAGTGGATTAGCACTTGAGACAACAGATGTCCTCCAAGACTGTCCCAATTACAACATATCAAGGCAAAACTTTTGGCCAAGAGAAACATCGGTGCAAGCCAAACTTTACGGGTCGCTGATTGAATTAAAACAGACAGTGAAGTTCATACTAGAGACAACACAGCAGAAACAGATAATCTATTTCAAGTGAACAAAAGAAGAAGAAGAATCAATTGCAGGGCTCTTCAAATATAAATATTTTCAAATGTAATGAAATAGAATTAGTTTCAAATATACATGTGCAAATCTTCTTCTTCTTCTGCTCTGCGTTCACCCTTTAAAAGGGCGACTGGCACATTGTGTTGTGGTTTTCAGCTAGGCTGCAATATGTGCATGTTTCTAACCCCAACACATCTAACCCTAGTAAACCTTAAATTAATTATCCACCTTTTACAACATACTTATTAAGAGGCAGTGTGCCTATCTTATTTTCCCCCCAAAATGGTACACTAGAACCCACACTACAAACATAAATCAATCAAACACAGTTACTTTAAAACAGAAATTAAAAAAAAATCTATGAATTATCTGCAAATTAGAATCAAGTATTATCTCCAAACATGATTCAAACATAATACCTTTCAAACATGATTCAAACAAAATACCTTTCAAACATGATTCAAACAAAATACCTTTCAAACATGATTCAAACAGAATACCTTTCAAACATGATTCAAACAGAATACCTTTCAAACATGATTCAAACAGAATACCTTTCAAACATGATTCAAACAGAATACCTTTCAAACATGATTCAAACAGAATACCTTTCAAAACATGATTCAAACAGAATACCTTTCAAACATGATTCAAACAGAATACCTTTCAAACATGATTCAAACAGAATACCTTTCAAACATGATTCAAACAGAATACCTTTCAAACATGATTCAAACAGAATACCTTTCAAACATGATTCAAACAGAATACCTTTCAAACATGATTCAAACAGAATACCTTTCAAACATGATTCAAACAGAATACCTTTCAAACATGATTCAAACAGAATACCTTTCAAACATGATTCAAACAGAATACCTTTCAAACATGATTCAAACAGAATACCTTTCAAACATGATTCAAACAGAATACCTTTCAAACATGATTCAAACAGAATACCTTTCAAACATGATTCAAACAGAATACCTTTCAAACATGATTCAAACAGAATACCTTTCAAACATGATGAAGCAAATACAAGATCATCTTAAGTGGTCTGCACTAAATCTTCAAGTATGAACCAAATGCAGTAAGAAAAAAGATTGACTTAGGAATGATAACTGGAGCAGGGCTGGCACAAAACCAATAATGAACTTTATCGGTTTACATCAGATAAAATGGTTTGATCATGCATCAGACAGGCCACCACAAAGAGCAATGTTATACACATACAGCGGTAACAGAGCCAGAGGTCGACCACGCAGAATATGGACCACATAAATAGCAACACACTGACTGAAAAGTACTATGTACGTTTTAAACAGAAGAGCCGGTTCCAGACATCCCTTTCTGGCCTGACGCTGTAAGACATTCCAGGAGCAGACAAAAGAAGAAGCAGCAGAAGTAAGAAAATAATCCTCGTGAACAAAAAAAAATAGATTAACACACAAAAACCGACCTACCTTTGGTGGTTTAAAAGGATAATCCGATGGGAAAGTTATTGTGAGGAAAAATACACCTCCCTGGTAAGGACTGTCGGCCTGGAAAAAATAACATTAGATTGTACAATTATAGCCTAACTCCAAGTGCACATAGGGCTGTCTAATTAACTTGAGTTTGCAGCTGAGACAGCATAAATGAATACATAATAAAAATGTTGCAGCTAAATGACACCAAACTGTGAATGATCAGCCTCAACGACTTGCCAGTAAACATTTTCGGCCACTTAGCTTTTTGTTAATTATACAACCTTAATGTCTTGCCTCACGATTTGGCCCTTATTACTGAACTCTGCTTTCTTGACCAGGCATGGCTTTTTCACTGATTCCTGCTCTCTTGACCAGACTTGTGGCTTCTTTAACTGATTCCTACTCTCTTGACCAGACCTATGGCTTCTTTCACTTGTCTGCTCTCTTGACAAGACTTATGGCTTCTTTAACTGATCCCTACTCTCTTGACCAGACATGGCTTCTTTCACTGATCCCTGCTCTCTTGACAAAACTTATGGCTTCTTTCACTGATCCCTACTCTCTTGACCAGACATGGCTTCTTTCACTGATCCCTACTCTCTTGACAAGACTTATGGCTTCTTTCACTGGTCCTTACTCTTTTGACAGGGCTGTTATGGCTTCTTCTTTCATCAATTCCTACTCTCTTGACAAGACTGCCATAATTTGGCCACTTTCACTGATCCCCACTCTCTTGTCATGACTGTTATGACTTCTTTAACCAATCTCTACTCTTTTGACAAAACTGTTATGGCTTCTTTAACCAATCTCTACTCTTTTGACAAGACTGTTATGACTTCTTTAACTGATCTCTTTTTTTGGGGGGGGGGGGGGGGGGGGGGGGGGGGGGGACAAAACTTCCAAGTTTAGAACCACATCTTTCAGCAACAGAATTTACATTCAGGCTCTTCCATTGACCTCTACTATCTTGATAAGACTACCACAATAATGCCTCTTTCGAGAACCACCATTCCAAAAACGACACTAAGCTAATGCAAGCAATCACATCACTAGTCACTGAAGCACCTGCCAGGACAAGGCTTCCAAGTCTGCAGCCACAGACTTTTCATTTAGGTTCTCTCATTGATCCCTACAACCTTGCCAAGACTGCCAGGATTATGCCTCTTTCCAGAACCACCATCTGATGATACTAAGCCAATGCAAGCAATCACATTACTAGTCACTGAAGCAGCTGTAGCTGTCATAGAATATTTGGTGTCTAAAAACCTTCCAGAAAGAATGACTGACACGAATAGAGATCTGTATTTGTGCTTTACTGATTACACTAAAGCATTTGATAAAGTGAAACATAAAGAAATTATCAGAAATTTTGAAACTTTAAACATTGATGGTAAAGATATAAGAATATTAAAAAAGCATTTACTGGCAACAAGAAGCAGTCATAAGGATTGACAACCACGTTGGAATTTTTCCAAACATTAAACATTGCGCTAGACATGGATGAGTACCATCAACCTATTTATTAAGTTTTTACAGTGAAATAATAATTAGATCCATACATAGTTTGACAGGAATAGTGGTTGGTGGGCACATCGTTAACAACCTGCGATTTGCTGACAATATAGTTTTGATCGCTGAAAATGAAACACAACTGCAAGAAATGATGGAAATAATTGTAACCGAAAGTGAAAACAAGAATCTTAGTTTGAACAGCAGAAAAACATAAGTAAGGATAATTACAAAGAAAATTGACCCTCCAAAATGCAACATCAAAGTAAATGGGACAAACCTCAAGCAAGTTGATATGTTTAACTTAGGTTCATCAGATGGAAGATGTTATTAAGGAAGTTAAATGTCAAATAGCTCGGCAAAGGCAGCATTTTATAAAATGAAGAATATTTTACGCACTTTTTCTTTGTCAATTAAGATGAGAAAAAGAACAATTAAAAGCTATATAAATGCTATATTGATATATGGGTGTGAATCATGGACAGCAAATTAGTAAAAACTTTTTTGGAAGCTGCAGAGATGTGGTTTTACTGACGGATGATGAGAATACCCTGGACAGATAAAAAGAGTAATGAAGACGTCTTGAAAGAAACTGGCCCACGAAGAGAATTGATTGCCCACATCAGAAAGAGACAATCTACATTCTATCGTCAGGTGATGAGAAGGAGAAAACTGGGTTACATCGTGACGGTAGGAAAGTTGGAGGGAAGGAAAGGCACACAGAGAACAGATGCATGATAGTCTGACATCACGGCATGGAAGATCATCTGTGTCAAAGTTGATTGAAAGTACACGAGACAGAAGATTGTGGAGAGACATGACTACCAATGCTGCATGGACTCTAAGAAGAAGAAAGTCTCATAATACGAATTAAAGACTAAAACTTTTCTATCGATTAGATGAACAATGTATCAAGAGGTACAATGTGACATGTTATTTCCCTGGAATTAATTGTGTGTGTTTCATTAGATGGTGAAGCAACTGTAGCATTGCACCCAATGGGATACAGCCAAATATACCTAGCAACAAATTGTGTGATGTATCGTCTGTCCGCAAAATGTAAACAAAATAAATACAACAACACTAGCGACTGTCACATACAATAAAACTGTCAGATTATTACCTTACACCACAACTTAAGCATAACAACAACACTGACACTCACATACTGCTGCTTACAACAATAAAACTGTCAGATTATTACCTTACACTACAACTTAAGCATAACAACACTGACACTCACATGCCACTGCTTACAACAATAAAACTGTTATAGATTATTACCTTACACTACAACTTAAGCATAACAACAACACTGACACTCACATACCACTGCTTACAACAATAAAACTGTTATAGGTTATTACCCTACACTACAACTTAAACATAACAACAACACTGACACTCACATACCACTGCTTACAACAATAAAACTGTCACAGACTATTTATTACCTTACACTACAACTTAAGCATAACAACAACACTGACACTCACATACCACTGCTTACAACAATAAAACTGTCACAGACTATTTATTACCTTACACTACAACTTAAGCATAACAACAACACTGACACTCACATACTGCTGCTTACAACAATAAAACTGTCACAGACTATTTATGACCTTACACTACAACTTAAGCATAACAACAACACTGACACTCACATACCACTGCTTACAACAATAAAACTGTCACAGACTATTTATTACCTTACACCACAACTTAAGCATAACAACAACACCGACACTCACATACCACTGCTTACAACAATAAAACTGTCACAGACTATTTATTACCTTACACCACAACTTAAACATAACAACAACACTGACACTCACATGCCACTGCTTACAACAATAAAACTGTCACAGACTATTTATTACCTTACACCACAACTTAAACATAACAACAACACTGACACTCACATGCCACTGCTTACAACAATAAAACTGTTATAGATTATTACCTTACACCACAACTTAAGCATAACAACAACACCGACACTCACATGCCACTGCTTACAACAATAAAACTGTTATAGATTTTTACCTTACACTACAACTTAAACATAACAACAACACCGACACTCACATGCCACTGCTTACAACAATAAAACTGTCACAGACTATTTATTACCTTACACTACAACTTAAGCATAACAACAACACTGACACTCACATGCCACTGCTTACAACAATAAAACTGTCAGATTATTACCTTACACCACAACTTAAGCATAACAACAACACTGACACTCACATACTGCTGCTTACAACAATAAAACTGTCACAGACTATTTATGACCTTACACCACAACTTAAGCATAACAACAACACTGACACTCACTTGCCACTGCTTACAACAATAAAACTGTCACAGACTATTTATTACCTTACACTACAACTTAAGCATAACAACAACACTGACACTCACATGCCACTGCTTACAACAATAAAACTGTCACAGACTATTTATTACCTTACACTACAACTTAAGCATAACAACAACACTGACACTTACATACCACTGCTTACAACAATAAAACTGTCACAGACTATTTATTACCTTACACTACAACTTAAGCATAACAACAACACTGACACTCACATGCCACTGCTTACAACAATAAAACTGTTATAGATTATTACCTTACACCACAACTTAAGCATAACAACAACACCGACACTCACATGCCACTGCTTACAACAATAAAACTGTCACAGACTATTTATTACCTTACACTACAACTTAAGCATAACAACAACACTGACACTCACATGCCACTGCTTACAACAATAAAACTGTCAGATTATTACCTTACACCACAACTTAAGCATAACAACAACACTGACACTCACATACTGCTGCTTACAACAATAAAACTGTCACAGACTATTTATGACCTTACACCACAACTTAAGCATAACAACAACACTGACACTCACTTGCCACTGCTTACAACAATAAAACTGTCACAGACTATTTATTACCTTACACTACAACTTAAGCATAACAACAACACTGACACTCACATGCCACTGCTTACAACAATAAAACTGTCACAGACTATTTATTACCTTACACTACAACTTAAGCATAACAACAACACTGACACTCACATACCACTGCTTACAACAATAAAACTGTCACAGACTATTTATTACCTTACACTACAACTTAAGCATAACAACAACACTGACACTCACATGCCACTGCTTACAACAATAAAACTGTTATAGATTATTACCTTACACCACAACTTAAGCATAACAACAACACCGACACTCACATGCCATTGCTTACAACAATAAAACTGTTATAGATTTTTACCTTACACTACAACTTAAACATAACAACAACACCGACACTCACATGCCACTGCTTACAACAATAAAACTGTCACAGACTATTTATTACCTTACACTACAACTTAAGCATAACAACAACACTGACACTCACATGCCACTGCTTACAACAATTAAACTGTCAGATTATTACCTTACACCACAACTTAAGCATAACAACAACACTGACACTCACATACTGCTGCTTACAACAATAAAACTGTCACAGACTATTTATGACCTTACACCACAACTTAAGCATAACAACAACACTGACACTCACTTGCCACTGCTTACAACAATAAAACTGTCACAGACTATTTATTACCTTACACTACAACTTAAGCATAACAACAACACTGACACTCACATGCCACTGCTTACAACAATAAAACTGTCACAGACTATTTATTACCTTACACTACAACTTAAGCATAACAACAACACTGACACTCACATACCACTGCTTACAACAATAAAACTGTCACAGACTATTTATTACCTTACACTACAACTTAAGCATAACAACAACACTGACACTCACATGCCACTGCTTACAACAATAAAACTGTCACAGACTATTTATTACCTTACACTACAACTTAAGCATAACAACAACACTGACACTCACATGCCACTGCTTACAACAATAAAACTGTCACAGACTATTTATTACCTTACACTACAACTTAAGCATAACAACAACACTGACACTCACATGCCACTGCTTACAACAATTAAACTGTCACAGACTATTTATTACCTTACACTACAACTTAAGCATAACAACAACACTGACACTCACATACCACTGCTTACAACAATAAAACTGTCACAGACTATTTATTACCTTACACTACAACTTAAACATAACAAAAACAGCGATTCTTACATACAATTGTTTACAACAATAAAACTGTGACAGATTATTAACACACACTACAACTTAAGCATAACAACAACACCGACACTCACATACCACTGCTTACAACAATAAAACTGTCACAGACTATTTATTACCTTACTCAGCAACTTAAACATAACAAAAACAGCGACATACAATTAATTGTTTACAACAATAAAACTGTCACAGACTATTTATTACCTTACTCTGCAACTTAAACATAACAAAAACAGCGACTCTTACATACAATTAATTGTTTACAACAATTAAACTGTCACAGATTACTTACAGGGCCCAGAATTGTAGCCTGCCATTGGAATACTGATTAGATGGAGGCGAAAAACAACAAAACAGTTATAGACTTTCAAAGGCAGGTAACATCAAAACACCAAAAGTGCAACAACAAAAAACCTGTTTTATTTGTGTTTCTTCTTCACATTCACACATTGCAAATTCTGGTTGTCTGTCCACTTCTAAACTATGGTGTGATCTCAGGACACATTAATTTCTATATCCATTTTTACAGATCTAGCTTATCTGTGTGCAGTCTTTTGGTTCCTCAACTCAGTAGGCAGATGTATTTTAACCTCGAAGAAAGCATGCTTGCTGAGGGCAGTGAGTCTTCTTTCCCCCAAAATATGATCCTCCCAGATTATTTGTTTTAAACTCATCCTTCTAATAACACAGCAAAGAATAGAACAAAATGTACCAATGCCATGACTTTGGATTAAGTTTAATTAGTAATGTAATAATCAATTTGTAAATATATATGACCTCTTTGGCAAAGCAGTCTTTAAATATTAATGACTTCTTTGGCAAAGCAGTCTGTAAATTTTAATGACTTCTTTGGCAAAGCAGTTTGTTAATATTTATGGCCTCTTTGACAAAACAGACATCTTTCAGGAATGTCTAGTGGTCAGATCACCAGGCAGACTGCAGAAGCCCAATAAATCAAAGCTAAAATTTATACTTTCTTCTTCAGGCTTGGATATGACCCTTCCAGGACTGCTCATGTAGTAAGATAGAGACATTTCTTATCAAAAGAGAAGGTACTTATTCCTCTGCACTATCCTTCAGGATACCACAGGCAAGGTGGAGAACTAGTTTAGCCCCTGTCAGGGTAATACAGAACCATAAGAGCAGCCCACAGATAGTTCTTAGTCACTGGATTTAAATCTTTTGCCGCATATATGCTTAAGATAATAGGATATGAACCCTGTAGGAATTTACAACATACATTACACAGTTCACTAATACAAATTTCAAGATATTCAATGATATATAAATGGGCAATCAATAAACACGTAGAGAAGCATTCAATGGAAAACATTCCCTGGGGTGTTAAAAACATGTAACAGGTGACTCATGATTTGATCTTGTCAGCTCTATCACTGAGGCGAACCAAATCAGTATGGTCAGTATGCTCTTGCCATCCTCACTGTCAGCCATACTCAGATTGAAAGTCTTGAGAAGGTGCAAAAATGAAGCAATGAGCATTATTCTAGGATGCACTGGAGACACCTCTTGTGTAGCAATGAGGTTCCTTCTTGACTTCCCTACCATGAACTACAGGATCAAGATCTGGAGGGCTCGTGCACACCTCAAGATAAGCTCAGATCTGAAGCACCCTTTGCAAAAAAAAAAAATGGCAATAATCTTAAAAGGGGCAAATCATGGCTGGGTAGGGCAAAGGATGATATCATGCAGGTTTGTAGCCTTACAGACATCCATCCAGGTGGGGAATGGATGCCAGCATCTAATCTCACATTCTCCTGTGTCGTGACGCTCAATTGGAGTTGTCGGGAGCAGAATCCAGCTGCTGTCAATGCAGAGGTATGTGCACTTATCAGTGACAAGTCAGATGAGACAGATGTGGTGATCTTCACAGACGGGACCGCTATACTAGGACATAAGAGTGCAAAGGCATTTACAGCTCGCTCTTCAGGCAGAACAGTTCAGGAAGCCAGCGGTGCCTTCTCCATGACCACCAGCAACATGAGGATGTGATGACGGTGACACAAGCTTTCCTGTGGCTGGGATCATAGGACTATTCCCACGTGTGTGTGCTGAGTGATTCTTTGAGCATGATCCGGCAGGTCGGTTACGCAGACAGTGGCTTGAGACGTTGCAAAATTCTCCTGTGGGTGCAGTTACTTTCATATTTTGTCCCAGGGCATGCAGGTGTTGTTGGTAATGAGAGAGCTGATAGACTGGCAGGTGTTGCATTAACTGAAGATGGTCGACCCATGGATCACCCAAACATTGTCATTGCCCTAAGAGAGATAGGACGTTCTCAGGATTTTGGAAGCAATGTGTCCAAATCACTGCTAAGAATTTGCGAATAGGGAGTAAAGATCAGCACAGCCAAGCATAAGAAGCACACCGGACGCACACAAAGTCTTGTTAAACAACATATGACTGGTACTATTAACCGCACGAAGCTGATGAAGATGTTAAGAGGGGAATCTGAGCGCCTATGGATGCGTCTGGAGTGCAGTGAAGATAATCTAGCTCATCTCATGGTCAGTGCCAAGAAGAAAGGCAATGCCAAACTATGTTCTTATTCCAGTATTAGCACTGGTTCTAAAGAATGTGTGCATTATTCTGAGAATCATCTTGAGTGGTCTAAGGGAGGATATTAGAGCACTTTTGTAAGTACAATGAGGTGTTAATAAACCATGGATATTATAGTGGCCTAAACTGCCAACATAGCTTCATCTTATCCTTGAGTTCCAGCCCCTGGCTTTCCGTTGGATATTTATTTTCCCGTTTCAATTTGTCCTGCCAGTCTACTGGCTAGATATCCACCGGGCTGCTTCGAGATATGAAGATAACCGATACTGTGTATTTGTGTAGTATTGTCTAAGCTGTGTATGTGCTGATAAAGGCTCCATAGCCGCAACATACACATTCTTTTTGTGTTTGTTATATTGTGAAGCTCGCAGAAATACTTTTCATTTCGGGTTTACATGATAATTTCCACTGATACAAGAGCATTTTTGTAAGTGTTAATAAACCATGGATACTAGAGCACTTTTGTAAGTACAATGAAAGTGTTAATAAACAATGAATATTTTGGACATTTTTTTAGTACAATTAAAGTGTTTTTTTTATAAACCATGGATATCAGAGCACTTTTGTAAGTACAATGGAAGTGTTAAACCATAACTGCTTGCTACAAAAATTATTACAAGTTTAATCTGCGGGTCATGTTTGAAGGAAAAAAAAAAAAAATCAACATAAAAACAAAGATACTCACTGTCGTCCCCCACAGGTCCTGCTGAACAGTTACAGGGTGGGTCTCTACCAAGGTCTAATAATTCCTGTGGGACAACAAGACAGAGTCTCATGTCATGATTAAGCTTCATCAGGTAGCAGAGCATTGCTCTCACCACAGCCTGAGAGAAAATCTCTGATCCTTGACAATTCCTATGTCCCATGAATGTCCACACCCAAGGTTTCCAGTACCTTGTGTCCAGACCAAACGTCTTTTCCTTCAGGAACAATCATCATCATGCTCTTGTACCACTATACATCACCAGTTCAGTGCAACAATCTCTTCAATGTCATGGACGGAATCCAGTTCAGCACCTTTGACCTCTCTCATGAACATTCACTTCAGTATTTCTTTTGGACATGCCTGTTTCCTCACTTTTGTTATTTCCCATCTTTGTGCCTCTTTGGTCCAGAAACAATGCTTCCCACTGATGTTTTTTCTAGTGCTTATCACTGAAGTGTTAAATGCTGGCTGGCAGCAAACGACTTGGTAATAATTTGCTGCATGACAAGTAAGACGAAGTCAAGACCTTTTGGATCGTGTGAGGAGTGTAGAAGCACAAACAGACCATCACGGGCTGAAGAGAATGATGCGGCTAGACATTTAACCCATGTACTGTTTCCTGGTTCCAGAGGAAACAGTTCATTTAAAATAAACATATGAAATACAGAAAGGGCTTGTGATTTTTAGTATAGATTAAGAATTTTTCTGTAAGATTTAAGTTTAAAATCACTTATTTTCTTCTTCAGTAATTTGTCAAATGGTCCGTGGGTCACATAGCTATACACAGAAAAGATACATGTTCTCAACATTCTTACTTTAGTTCGTTTGTGATGTAAAACTATTAAAGCTGTCTTAATCTCTTCATATAAATGCGTTAAGAAAAGTTGAGAACTGACATTATAGCATTGAGGACTCAGAAATGAATTTGCATTTATCTTTTCAGTCAGCAGAAAGTTCCAATTCCACTGGAACTCTGGAACCAGTTGTATTCTGTATGTCCATCTCGTCCCTCTCCTGAGTGTTCGGTGTCGGTGAGACCCCCTGGCCATCCCAGGCACTATTCTCTTCAGACCATGATGCTCCCACAGTGCCTTGACAACACCTAGCTTGTCAGACCTCAATTTAATTTAGTATTAATTATATTATTATTAACTAAGCCCTGCAGAACCAGCCAGTTTTGTGCAGTACTATATTTATTTACTATAAAAGAATATGCCATGCTAATTAAAATCGCTTGAGCAATAATGTATTCAATTATTTAACAAAGTCATTAAATAAATTCAATAAGAATAATTAGATTAAGACTTGTCGCAGACCGAAATAATGATGATCAATAGGTCCTCCTGTGACTATGAAAGGGGGCAGGATTTTAGGATAGCTACAACTCAACTACAAAAAGGATTTATTAAAATTGAAAAAAATATATAATTCCCAGGAAGGCTGTTCACACAGTGGTCTAGATTACGAACACTTAACTAGAGTATTTATGCCAGTCTACATATGAAAGTTATACTCTGATTACACAACGACTTAACATCGAGGACAAGGCGAGAGAGAGATCGCTGGTCCCGTTACCTTCTGTATCCTCTTCACCGCCATCTCAAACAATGTAGTCTCTGTTGCCAGGTACTTGCACCGTCTCCAGGCCCAACTGATCTCTACTCTACACTTAGCCGCAAAATGGCCTTCTTCGACCTGAAGCACGGGTGTCTTTTTCTCCGTTGCGTTCTGTTTCATATGCTTAGACTACCATGGCTCAGAGCAGACCATTAGGTGGGTTGCTTCTATGAACTCGCATGTCAACAGCAGATCCTTCACGGTTCCCCATAGCTTGCTCTACACACTTTGCTCTTGAGGCCAAGTGTCTTTTCGAAGTTGTAGGTAGAGTGGGCAGGTTTGCAGAATGTGCTCAGGTGTTTGTGGTCCTGTTTAACAGGCACGCTGTGGGGACTGTTCAATCTTTATTTTATTCATGTCGTAGTTGAGCCTGCAGTATCCTGTTCTTGATCGGGAAATTGTTGTATGTTGCTTTCTGTTCAGTCTGTTGGTGGGGTCTTGTGGATGTTTACTCTCCACAATTCCTTGTATTTTCCCTTGATGTGTGTTGTGATTTCTGGGACTGACAATGAGTGGGTGTGTTATCTCTCCTTTGTTTCATTTTTTGCAAGTCTGTCTACTAATTTTTTCCTGGTATGCCGCAGTGAGCCAGGATCCACTAGAGACCGATTTGATTGTTTTCTGAGAGTCTGTTTAGCTGGCGGGTCAGTTCTCGCTGCATGTTGTCTCAACGATCTCTCTGAGTCGCCTGGAGGACTGACACGCAGTAAAAAAGGATAATAATTTTGTAGTTTTCAATGTTTCTGTCCAGAAGTACTTTGGCTGAATCAATAATTGCTTGCTGTCTGCTCTGAAGTTTGATAATAGTCTTCCTGAAGTTCATGACGTTTCTACTGTGGTCCCATCTTGCAGCATGATGACCGATCTAGCTCCTCCGTTTTTGTCTACTCCCCCAGTGATCCATCGGTGTTTACTTGTGTCCATTCGGGTATTTGATGAGAGCTTTAGACATGGTCAAGAGTCTTTGCATACAGTAGTACTAGGTCACATTCTTCAGCCTTTCTGTCTATGCCTGAGATTGTTGTTGTGACTGTATATTTAGGCTGTTTGTCTATGCTGTATGCCTGGATCATTTCACACGTCGAATGATCTTTAGACAGGATGTCACATTTTTTTTTAGTACAATTTAGAAAGATGGTGAAAGCTTTGTCTTTTTAGTCGGTTTTTAGTTATGTTGTTTGCTATTCTGTGCACGGGGTTGTTGTTCATGCGTTTACAATTATCTGTTAAAATAAGCACATTTTCTTCTCTTCGAAGGCTCAAGCTCTGGAAGTTGCCTCCAGCTCATGGATTAATGTGCTTCTCATACCTCCAGTGATGGTTCTGAGATCAGCGTTCTTGATATTGTCCAGTTTCTATAGGTTAAACACTGGTTTGGTTGTAGCACAGCTGTCTTCTCCGTGTATGTTGATGTCACACGCAGTTTCGTCTTTAGTTTGCTCCAGGAGTCAACTGAAGAGAACAGACGAGGTGAAAGATGGTCGTGTCGATAGTGGGATGAGAATGATGACTAGTTTGCTGCATGCTTCTTACGTCACTGATGCTTGAAAAATAAAATGCATGGAAACAAATGTCCTTGTCTATATTGTCTTTATTGTGATACTTCAGTAATGTCACAAACAACACAGTGGCCGCTGTTTTTGCTCTACGGTTTCATACTCTTGAGGTCGCGCTGTGTTCTTCATCTCAAATTACTTTGTTAACTAGTTTTAGTGTTTGTAACTGCCACCTGGCTTCTCGTGCTGTCTGGCTCTAACGGCTTTATCGTCGGCTCTAACATCACAAGAGGGTTTCTGTCCAATGTGTTTTTGTGAACCATTTATTCATGTATTTTGTCCGTGGTCTCTATAGCTCGATGTCTTGTTTCATGTCTCCTCTCTAGTGTCTGTCTTCGAGGCTCAATGTGACTGACTCCTCTTCTTCTAGTGTTGAGCTGGCATCTCCACAGCTGCGAGGGTCCATGAGACTAGTCCTTTGAGTCTCAATGGCTGAAGACTCTTTGAGGGTCCATGTTACTAGTTCCTCCTTTTTTAAATCTCGTTGACTGAAGTTTAAATTAAGAATGACATCACAGCACTCGGGACACCCCCATAAGTGCAGCCAGCAAAGAGTTAAAATGTCGATGGTACCAGTAACTGTCTGTATATCCGTCTTGCCTTTGCCCTGAATGTCGAGTGTCGGCCAGATCCTCTTGTAACGCCTCGCAGCGCCATTCTCAGAACGTAATGATCTCTATTTTCCTTGGCACTGTTCACTCGCTCCCAAAGGGCCCTCACAACATCCAGCTTGTCATACATAACAAGTGGTGCAGAACCGGCCAGTTTATCTGCCTGCTCATTTCCCAACCCAAGGGCACAACCTGGAGAAAATATCCAAAGGACGCTAACTTTAAAGTAATGCTTGCCATTCTGCATGGAGCATGCCTGTAGTAGGGGCAGACACCTATATCTTACACTCATCCGTAAATCATCACGTCCTACCTCAGCTTCATCTGGTGGATCCTGTTCTGCTCCAGCGAAAGGTTTGGGTTTCAACCCCCAGGGGAAACTAGATGGGACAACAAATGAGACAATGGCAAAAATCAAAATCTGTCGTCGGCCGGCTATTGAGTTGAGTACATAGTGGTACACGAAAGCTGTGAGTTTCATGGAGAATCCTAATTTTCTGTGTTCTCTGAAATGTGTGTTGTAAACTGAATGCCTTATGTAGTAATGTATGTCCATATGCTGATTTGTTGTGACTGGTCCTTTTTTCAACTATAAATGGCAATTACAGTGACAGACTGTAGGGGGTTGCAACTCTCATGGCTACCTTCTTTTATATGTGTGATAGCTGATGTATTTTGACAGACTACTGTCTGACTTTTCAGATAGGGAGTGACGGGCAATAAACAGTCCATCTCTCTCTCTTTCTCTCACACACAGACAGAGAGAGAGAGAGAGAGAGACAAAGAGAGGCAGCACAAGGCAGATTGAAAAACACATAAAGAGTAGAGAAGATGATGAAGAGCAAAGACATAAGGATAGAGAGACAAAAGAGAGAGAGAAACAGCCAGAGAGACCAACACACAGAGACAGAGAGAGACATAGAGAGTGACATACAAGGGAAAAGTTGGGGGAAGGGAACAAAAAACAGGAGCAACAAACAAACACCAGCAGAATTCTGTTCCAAAAAATGTATTCTGTGTTATGAAACACTAACATCAAATTGTTACAACACTGGAGAACAGAATTAAAGCGATGTTTACACAAGCTCAAACAAGACATAGAAAATGTACGTATCTGTTCCCCATCATCTAGACCCTTCTTTTATTACTTATCAGATAAAAAAGCTCAGTCATAAAACAAAAGTACAGTTTAAACACTTACCATGTAGGAGAATAAATACAAGATATATCTAAACCTTATCCACGTAAGAAGTTTAATTGTTAACAACTATAGCAAGCCTTCTGGTGTACAGAAACAACAGTAGAAGCAAACCTTAATGGACCACTGAGACAACTTAAAAAAAAAAAAGACAACAAAGATTGTCCAAGACAGCACTGCAGATCGGACAGTTTATTTCAAGCAAAACTTCCCTGTGTGGGTTCCAAGCCTTACTAAGTTGAGTCAAGAACTGACATCACAGCACTCGGGACATTCCCATGTGTGCTCCGTCCTCATCTTCAGCAGCCAGCGCAGAGTTCCAATACTGAATGTACCGGTGAAAGCCTTACTGTTAGGGAACCATGAATAAACCAACTGCTACTTAACAAGCATGTCATTAAATGTGTTGGGTCGAAAGGTGCAGATATCACAGCCTAGCTGTAAACTACAACATAATGTACCAGCCACCCTTGTAAGGATGAACACAGAAAAATGAAAAAACTTTCATGTTTAAAGAAAAAATAAACACAAATTACAGAAAGAAGAGAAATAATAACACTAATTCTAGGCATTTATCATAAAGAGGTGAGTTTATGCCTACAAAAAAAAAATCTTCAGTGTTTGTTTTGTTATGCACAAAGTTTACAAGTTAGCATTTGGAGAACTAAGTGTCATCTATAGGTAAAGTAAAGAAGTAACACTGTTAGCATGTAGAACATTTACAATAACATAAAATGAAAGAATCCACGGACAAATCAGAAGAATCGGTTTAAGAATTATCTATTTAAAAAAAAAAAAATCAGCTAATATTAGACACATCATCTTTGACAGATTAGAAGTATTAAGTTTATAAATATCTACAGACGAAATATAAGAGCTAATGTAAAAATTTTCTATAGAAAGTAGGTGTTAATTTTAAATAAAATATAAGAACAAATGTTAGAAATCATACATGAAACTAGAAGCGTTAATTAACAAAAATATCCAGAGACAAAAAAAAATAAGAGCTAATGTTAGAAACATCATTTATGCAGACATCAGAATAGTTAATTTCAGAAATATCTAGGGCCAAAATATTAGAGTAAATTTTGTAAAACATTATAATTCCCATCCACACACAAGTAGAAAAGCCAATATCTGAAACACTGTAAGTACCATCCACTAACATTGAAAAAGAGTTAATTTGAGATACAGGTTGACAATAAAAAAAAAATCTGGCAACCTCCGGACCCAAGGAGTGCCTGATCTGTGAAAATGCCTGATTTTTGTGTGGTTATACATGTATATATTTAGCATATTTTTAATGCATTTTCACTTTCTTTGCGACTGACAACACATGATGTTTAAATTTTATACCACCTTTTTTCTTTGTTGAATCAATAATTTGACTATACAGCTGCGAAACAAATAATCAAATAGAAAGGAATAAGCAGCGATGCCTGTCAGCATTGCAAGCAAGACCCAACAGCTGATTCTGGTCCACAGTAACATAAAAACATACAACAGACAATCAGAAAACAGTGGTGCGACCACGTGGTAAATATGAGAATGTGCAGTGAGATCCATATTGGAAACCTGAAGGAACCAGATTACTGACGGCTGGATTTTTTTATGTCA